GCACATCTCTTGTGGGGGGGCAAAGTTATCACATCATCTCCATCATTATCATCAGTTGCATGTAGAGCTTCATTAATGTCTGTAAATGTCACGTCATCTTCGTCTTCAGAATCACTCTCAAGTGGCTGGTACCTCTTAAATGCTTTAACAAAATTAGACCCATTATCAGTCACTGTTGCTGTGATTTTGTGTGTTATCCCATATGTAGAGTGTATACTGTCAAGCTCAACTGCAATGGCGTCATGAGTATGATGCCCCTTAAATCGTCTGCAAGCAAGAGCTGCTTTCTCTCTTTCCATGTTATTTGGATTGATCCAATGTGCAGTCACACCCATGTAACTTTTATTGTGATCAGTCCAGATGTCTGCTGTAGTTGAAATGTACTCTAATTCCTCAAACGTCTTTTTGAGCTCAATATCCATTTTTTCGTATTCACTGTCAATGAATCTAGCCAAAGTGTTTCGGCATGGGGCAACACCCCTACCTCCTCCTCGTATTGGTATTTTAGCAAGGATAGCTCTGAATGACTCAGACTCCACGATGGACAGGGGTAGCATGTTTTCAACAACATACCTTGTAATCAAAGTGTTCAGCTCGGTCTTAGTCACATGCTGCTGAGCCGAAAAATCGAGCGATGCTTGTTTTAACGGAGTGTCTCCGTCTCCTTCGCTGGAGCTCACGCTAGCTGCATTTGGGCTTGGGGTTGGGTTAGCAGCAGCAACAAGTTTAGTGTTAGCATGTGTAGATGTAAGGTGCTTCATAAGGTTAGAGTTGCTTGAGGTAGACGTGGATAATATCTTTTTTCCTCGGCATAGCGTGCATGATACATATACATTATTGCCTTTAATTTCGACGAGGGAGAAGTAGTGCTGGTACTTCCAATTTCGGAACGCTACCTTTGAATTTCCCTGGCTCGTCGCCATTGTCGCTGTCCAGTGTGTTCAGAAGTAGTGGAAGTCAGAGTGTCAGTGGGCGTGCAGTAAGACACCATGAGCATGGCATCCGCCCACCCAGCCAATCATCATCGCATTTGCAACGGCGTCATCATTATCTCTCGTCAGGCAGCTTATAAAGCCAAAGCTTGACATCTCACGCGCGTCATTCAACCGAATTTTAGTAACGCGCTACTTAACATTCTCAGTAACGATAACGGCGTTGCAAGTATGGGAAAAATAATTAATTAGATTACTCCGTTACTGAAAAAATAACGCCGTTAGTAACACCGTTATACTTAAACGCAGTTACTCCCAACACTGTTCGCGACGCGCTCTGGAAAGCTGCAAATAACTCCCCTTACCTGGCAAAACACCACTTAGGGTTCGCAGAAGATCTGTCCCCAGAGGATCGAGAGCGGCGCAATAAACTTTGGCCACTTGTTGAGAAAGCTCGGCAGCAAGGCCGCCGCGCTTACTTCGTTGGTCCGAAGGCGTATATTGATGGCAAAGAACTTGTATTACAGGACATGGAGGTCGCCGAGTGAACTGATCTGAGTTAGTTTGCTGTTTTGCCTAAATTTGTGACTGAGTATGTGTTTTACTTTTAAAATGCAAACTTAACTGTCGAACTTTAGAAGTACTTTAATTGTACTTTTGAGGTACAATCATTTTTTTTTTTTTTTTTTTTGAAAAGACCCCTATCTTATCCTATTTACAAGGATTTTCTTATTTATAGGATTTCATGGGCTGACTCACCTGTTGTTTTAGTTCTGGTGTCACATTGTTCAATGTTCCCAAATTTTTCTATTTGCTCAGTTAATGCAAGAGGGTTGCGTAATGATGTTAAGCGTAAAGCTATCTTTTTATATGCTAAATCGCTTAATACTGATTTTTGTTTTATACAAGAATCGCATGCAAAGTCTAGTGATTTTAAGTTTTGGAAATCACAATGGGGTGATGAGTTATTCTCTTCTTATGGTTCTAATTTTTCAGCAGGTGTTTTAACTTTGAAGCACAAATTTAGGGGTAAAATAGTAGAGACTATTTCTGATCCTGAAGGCCATTTTCTTTTTTTATTGGTTACCTTAAACGATCTTTTTTTTGTCCTGGGTAACATTTATGGATATAACGCTGCAAAAAATAACCTCAAGTTATTTAATTCTATAGAAGTTCATTTAGAATATTTTAAATCTAAATATCCTAACTTGTTTATTCTTTTGGGTGGAGACTTTAATCAAACTATAAATAATAATTTTGACAGATCACCTCCTAGACTTTCTGATAGTTCATCAGGCCTTTGTGGTTTGATCTCCCGATTTGGCCTTGTTGACATTTGGCGAGAAAAACATCCTCTTGCTTTACAGTTTACTTGGTCTAACAGTTCTGGTGCACTTAGGTCTAGAATTGACTTTTGGTTATTATCGGAGTCTTTATCCAGTCATGTTACTAAGACTGAAATCTTGCCTTCTCCATTGTCTGATCATAAATCTATCATTTTATCTTTTGATAACCCATCTGCTCATTCAAGAATATGTAATTCATACTGGAAACTTAATTCTGTTTTATTAGAGGATGCAGAAATTTGTCGATCTGTGATATCTAGGATAAAAAAAATTCTTAACAAAGCCCAAGCCGAGGATAATTTTAGTTCTAACTGGGAGCAGTTAAAATATACTGTTAGATTAATCTTAGTTAAAGCTGGATCTCAAAAAGCTAAACAATATAAAGCAAAGGAACTTGATGTTATCAAAAAACTTGTCTGCCTCTCCAGCACTCCGTTTGAGAATTTATCTGTTAATCAGAAATCAGATTTGGTTGAACTTCAGAATTCGTTAGATAACTTGTATATACAAAAAGCAAAGGGTGCTTTTGTTCGTTCAAGACGATGGTGGTTGGAGGAGGGAGAACGTAACTCCAGCTATTTCTTTAGATTAGAAAAACAACGAAATCATCTTAACTCTATAA